TATATGGTTATAGTGGCCCTGTATATGTATGTGTATATATATATATAGCATAATTTGTAAACATGTATACATACACCGAATACACACATGTAAGGACCTGTATCCACATAACATTATTTGTGCTTTGCAGTCTTTGCATAAGCCGGTTCTCCGGCTGCCTCGGGTAGTTCCCAGTGTAAAGACTTTGCATTCTGCTATGTAATCTTCAAACCTTGCATTCTGCTATCTCGGTACTTAAGAGACCCTAAGTAGTTGAAGAACCCTTGAGCCCTAAACCCTTGACCCTAAACCCTGAACTAAACCCTAAACCCTGAACCTCGAAAGACCCTAAGAAGCCCCAAAGAAACTCCAGTCGGCCCGGCACCGCGGGCTCGGCGGGCAGCGCCGCCAGCGAGAAGCCACGCGGCAGGGATCCCCGGAGACGAAGCTTAGCATGGGTTTCAGGGTAGAGGTTTAGGGCTTCAGGTTTTTTTAGGGCTTCAGGGTATAACTTTAGCGTTTCAGGGTATACCTGGACCCTGAAGAACCCACAGTTTTTACAGATCCCTATCATGATTCCTTCATATGTCCTTCAAAACGCAGGTTATTTGGCTTCCAGGGTATAGTAGCAGGGTTTGGGTTTGGGGCTCCGCTTCCAGCCAAGACAGTCGAAGCTTAAGTAGGTAAGGCAACCTTGAGTTTAAGCGCTGGCCCGCAGTTCCCACATCAGCCGATGATGATGATGATGATTGCAATTGACATCCACGGTTTACATGGGTCCTGTCCCAAGGCGGCTATCCCAGGTCAAAGGTTGATATCAACGGGGTTCGGCAGAAACCCTAAACCCTAAACCCTAATTGAAGCCTCAGGTGGGCAATCTGGGGATTTTAGGAAACTGCAAGGATTTAAGGCCTTGGGCCTGCCATAGGGGTACTTATGATGAGGAACGGGGGGTTGTTGCAGGAGGTTCTTGAAACCCACACCTTCCAAAATCCTTTAACTAAGGAATGCACTTGAAATCATATTCGGGGTCCCTTTATATTTGAAGGTATATTCCTGAATATAATTTTAGGCGATATTGAAAAATCTGGGAAGGGCTACCCTAAACCCTAAACCCTAAACCCTAAACCCTAAACCCTAAACCCTAAACCCTAAACCCTAAACCTATCCGGGGATCCTCGCGCTCAGGGAGCCGCAGCCGAAGTGCCGCAGAGCATCCGCCCGGGGCCTCATTGACCGGCGCAGCAAAAGATCCAGTTTAGGGTTTAGGGTTTAGGGTTTAGGGTTTAGGGTTTAGGGTTTAGGGTGCTATAAGACTTCCAGGGTTTAGGGTTTAGGGCTTAGAAGGGTTCCGTAGGATTTCTGCTAAGGGTTCTGTCAGGACTCTTTGTAGAGTTGTTTCGGTGGTTTGGGGTTGTTGATTCCACTTCAATGTCCCACAGCTAAGGAAGATCCCACAATTGAGGGGAAGATTCTGTAGCACGGATCCTGGATAAGGGGCATTGTGTGTCACCAAAGAATGTTGTATGTGGGAATCCAGCGACAACATGACGAATTTCAAGGCTTTCGTTTCATGCCGTTGTGTACGGTTAGTCCTTCCGTCGTTGCAGGTCAAAGGCTTCTTGCCCAAACCGGCTACTATAAGGCTTTAGGGGGGCCTTAATAGTTAGAATAGGGTTTGGGGGTTCCCTTTGGACGACTGATGGCGACTGACTGCTCCGGTCTCGACTCGCCCATTTCGTTGGCTGGAGGTCTTAGGAGAGGCAGATGTTCTCTATAAAGACATGTTGGAGCGGTCCGACACCCAGCTAGCAGGCACCCAGGTCGAAGGCTATGTCTTGGGCTTCCCTTGTCAACCTTCCAGCAAGCAAGGCAAGAAGCGTCAGGGGTTCAAGGACTCAGGCACAGCCCTGCTGGACAAGGGTTTCAGGACTTTGATGACCTTGCTCCCTGCCTGGGCCAGCATGGAAAATGTCAGAGGCACCTTGTCCTACAAGGAAGCCTTGAACAAGGTCTTCCGTGACACAGGAGTATGCCCCAAGAAATGAACTGAACCAACCCCGCCTCACTCGGGCGTCTGCGCTTTGGGCTGTGTGTGCAACACTGTACTTTCGGAGGCCTCACAAGGTGGGATGAGATTAAGGATCCCTTATAGAAGGACTAGTTGCTATTTGGGAATATCCCACCTACCTTCATCCCACCTTTTAAGATCTCCGATAGTTCTTGCTTGTTGATGATACGAATCCGGCAGTACCTTAAGGACCTTAAACTATGGGAATTATGGTATATTATTTACTATGGGTAATGCAGGGTTCATATCATCAAACGTTGTTTCGGTTTAGCTTAGGACTTGGAGCTAAGGGCCTAGGCCTCAGGTTCGAAGGTCAACTGCTAAGCTTTGTCGGGCAAGCCTACCGTGAGGGGCTTTTTGCAAGACCCTGAAGTTTGTAGGGTTCAGAGTTTAGGGTTTAAGGGTTGAACCAACATGAAGCTAAGGTTGTGTGACTTAGACTTTTCTGGGTACATGGACCTGCACCCTGAGTGCTTTGAGCACAGGGCTCCTGTGTCGACCGTAAACCCTATAAGCCCTACACCCTGGGATTTAGGGTTGATTTAGGTTTAGGGTTTATTTGGGTTTAGGGGTTATTTGAGTTTAGGGTTTAGGGTTTAGGGTTGCCGATGGTTTAGGGTTTTGTGAATTTAGGGCTATGCGTTTATTATGATTTAGGGTTTTTCTGGTTCAATAATTTTATGGTGTACCCTAGACCCTGAACCCTAAACCCTAAACAATAAACCCTGAACCCTAAAACCAAAACCCTAAACCCTAAACAATAAACCCGGAACCCTAAACCCTAAACCCTAAACCCTAAACCCTGAACCCTGAACTCCGAACCCTAAACCCTAAACCCTGAACCCTAAACCCTAAACCCTAAACCCCAAACCCTAAACCCTAAATAAACCCTAAACCCTAAACCGTGCTTCATGCAAGGGTTTGGGGGTGAGGTTGGGTGAGGTTCTGAGAGACTCCCACACCCAAGCCCCCTTCAGGAAGTGACAAATCTTAAATGGTCGGACTTTTGGTTAAGAGTTTAGGGGTTTGGGTTTAGGGTCTAAGTCTAGTAACCCCGTACTTGTCTAACGTGATTTATGGTCTAATGCTTAATGAAGGGGTTCTAGAACCTACCATCCCACAACTATCCATTGTGGGTTTAGGGCTTAGGGTTTATGGTCCACCTATGAAAGAAAGTACATGCATGGATGGCCCGACCCGAACAAGCTCAAAGCCAGCGTTAAACCGACAAGCTCAAGCCTTTGTTTGGAACTAAACCCTAAACCCTTAGCGACGTACACACCCTCGCCCCTGATTCTTTGTTTCTCCGTCTCTGCATGTTTCTTCAAACAACAAAACTTGCTAAAGCCCCAACCAGCTGTGTCATTGCCTGGCGCAGACGGTGACAATCGATATCGAGGAACCCAAACTCTTACATGCCTAAATCTGAACCTCAGACCCGATAGCTTTTATGTGGCATTCTGCGGCAATGCTGGCCCAGCCAAAACACACATCAAATAAGCCCTAAGACCCCCAAGTCCATACCCCAGACCCTAAACCCTGAAAGCCCAACAACCAACCCTGCTCAGAAAACATGGTTCTGAAGACCTACACCACTAAACCCAGACCCTAAACCTGTTAGGCATTCTTGGCCAACTACAAGCTGGCATCCGCATGGCTGAGACGGGCCCCACGGCTCAGCTTTTTGGACTTTGGTTGTTGAGGGTTTGGGGTTCGAGGTTCAGGGGACCATGCTCTTTGCTGTGAGGGTAGATTAACAAGGGTTTAAGCAGTTTCAGTTCATTGTTTGCACTGGGAAATGTATTTCTATGATCGTTACTATTCGTTATTGTCAGTAGTTGTCAGGTTTCGCTCCAGTTCTTCGCCTCGGAAATCTCATGGGCGTCACGGTTTGTAACAGAGCTTTAAAAGGTCTTCGCAGGTGCGAGAGGCACCGTTAGGGCTTTAGGGTTTACGGCTGAGGAGACAGAGGTGAAGAATTCAAGCAGAAGTTCATGTCGGATAATGAAGGATGATGTTTTCGCTGCATTCTTTCGCTTTCTTCGGTTTCTCTTGAATACCTTGAGACCCTGCATTCCTGTTGAGCTGTACTTGAGTCGGGTTCGGTGCCGATATGCTGCACCAGGCATTTCCCGGCAACACCTTCAGGGTGCCTGCATGCAAAAGAGCTTTAAGGCTTTAGGGTTTAGGGTCTAAGGTTTAGGGGTTTAAGTGTTTTAGGTTTAGGGTTTGGGATTTGGGCTTTAGGGTTTAGAGTTTAGGATGAAGAGCTCAAGAGCTTCCAGCAAGGGACTGCGTTCAGGTACGGTTGTTGCAGGAAAGTCGGAACAAGGGTCTAGCTATACTCCAGAAAAGCCGGGGTTCTTTTCACAGATACTGCATCCGGTGAGGTTCCCAGTTCGAGGATGCAGGATCTCTACCAGCCCGTTCTGCGGCTTCGTCTTGGCGGTATCTTCCTTGGAACCCCAACAGAGCACGACACGCTGGATGGCAAAACTTTAAAGAAAAAGATGCGAATTGACAGAGCCTCTCACAAGAGCTCCAGGAGTCCTTCGAAAAGTCTTAAACCCTAAACCCTAAACCCTAAACCCTAAACCCTAAACATAAACCTTAAACACTCTTCGACAAAACCGAAGATAGAAGAGAAGGGTGGGCTCTTTGGGGAGGAGGTTGAGTTTTAGGGCAACCTTCAACCCCTGCCTGAACCAAAGCCTGAGCCCTAAGGCTTTAGGGTTTAGGGGTTTAGGGTTTAGGGTATAGGGTTTAGGGCTTAGGGTATAGGGTTTAGGGTTTACCTGCCCAAGTCTCCAGACAGGCGTGCAATTGTCATGCCTGCTCCCCAGCTGATAGCAAAGAGCCTGGGTTCAAAAAGGGTCCTAAACCATAAAACCTTCAACCCTTTTGCAGGAGGCAAAGACACCCCCTAGTAGCAGTTTTTCTACCGCCGGAGGCGCAGCTCCGTGAGAAGCTCCTTGCAGGCCGGCTGTGTCTTTCAGAAAGAGGAGGGGTCGAGCGTTTAGAGCCAAAGTTTAGGGTTATGGGTTCTAGGGTTTAGGGTTGAGGGTTAGGGTTTAGGGTTTTAGGGTTTAGGGTTGAGGTTTAGGTTTTACACGATTTACATAGGATGTTAGTAAGTGAGCCAGAGGGTGGTTTGGGAACTGTGTATTTTAGCACGGTTGGGGCCCTTCGTTCGGGATCAATCTCACGAACTCGCAACCCAAGTACTTTTGGAGGACCCTTGTCGACTCAAAGGGGGGAGGAGTAGGGTTTTTGTGAGTGTATGAAGAATGTAGGAATGCAGGGTCCTTATTGGCTAGAATAGGGTTTTGGGGGTTCCTCATTCTAAAAAAAACAATATCCCCCACACCCTATTCTAATTGTAAAGGCTCCAATAGTACCCTTCATGACGATGGCGTCTCTTGGCCAGAAGCAGATTTTTCTGTCGAGCGACGCTATGCCAAGGCGGCGTCGTGAGGATACCGAAGATTTTGCCCGACAGTGTCGCGCTGCTGGCTCTGAAGACGCTGCAGGACGGGCTTCGGGCCTCAAATAAACGCTAAACCCTAAACCCTACGTCTTTAAACTCCGGGAGCAACATGGTATTCTGGACACCTATAAAAGAGGTGATTAAACAATAAGAATAAAGTCCGGGAGCTTAAACAATCTGGGCCTAAATCTCAAGCACGTAAATCCCCAATCTCTAAAGCCCAAATACCGTCCCAAGGCCCTAAGACTTCGAAGTGCAAACGCCCAAGACACCCAAATGTTAAACCCCCGAATTCGCCCCGCGCAAAGCATTTTTAAGCCCTCAGCTCTATCCCCACCGAGTACTCTAAAGCCTTTATTCCGCAACCTCCGAGCCGAAACAGGCCCTAGACTGAACTTGTTGATTCTGAAACCCCGCCCGATGCAATCGAGATCGAGGGCTCCAAGAACCCTGGCCAAAAAAGCCCTAAACCCTAAACCCTAAACCCAAAAAAGCCCTGTAGGCTTCCTGGCCCTTCCTGAGCCCCAAACGCGCCAAAGCCCTACAAACCCCATCAGCCCCCTCGTAAACCCTGAGCCCTGCGCCCTGTAAGCCTTACACGCCGGATAAAGCCTCAGCCTCAAGGGACTAAACCCTAAACCCTAAACCCTAAACCCTAAACCCTAAAGGAGGGACCCTTAAAGGGACCTTTGGGGCTATAGAGGGGCTTTATGAGAAAAGCGGGTCCCTTCTAATTAGGGGTCCCTCCTATTGTCCCTTAAGAACCTTACTTGAGAAAGGTAGTAGCCTTCAGAAGATCCCTTCTGGGATCTCCTGCCTGTAGAAACCCTTTATAGGGGTTTAGGGGTTTTGGGTTTAGGGGTTTAGGGGTTTTGGGGTTTAGGGGTTTAGGGGTTTTGGGTTTAGGGGTTTTGGGTTTAGAGTTAAAGCCTTTACAGCAAAGATTTTGCGAAGGAGATGCCCCGAGAGTCCTGGAATCTCACCCAGGCCAACCGCGACGCATCGAGGCGGACCTGAGAATGGCGGGGTTATGGTTTCGCTTAGGGGGTTAGGGTTTAGGGGGTAAGGCAAAAAGGCGTCAGGGTTCAAGCTTTTAGGGTCCCGGGGTTTAGGGTTCAGGGTTTGATCTATGAGCTGTAGCCAGTCGTGCTACGGCTTGGCGCATGCTGCCGCTGTTTTCTGTCACCTTGCTGGCCGACTTCCCAAGCCCGGATGCAAAATCGGGTTTATCAACAAGGGTTCAAGGTTGAGGGTTTACGGTGTGGGGTTTAGGGTTTAGGCTTCAGAGGTTTAGGGGGTTGAGGCCTTAGCGTTGTTCAGGTTGTAGACTGATCATGGGCTGACCGTATAAGCCCGACATAAGCCCTGGCAAATTTTCACCCTAAAGCACAAAGGAGTTTGGGCTTCTGGAGATAGAGCCCAAAGCTTGTACCCAGAACAGTCCGCTTACATGGCTGCCCAAACAAAGGGTTACTGCCTATGGTACAACAGGGGTACGAAAAGGGCAACTTCCCAAGCCTAAACCGTAAACCCTACACCCTGAAAGCCTGTTGCATAAGCAAGGACACAGGTCGTCAGAAAAACCTTAAAGCCAAGACCCCAAAGACCAGGAACAACGTGGCACACCGCTTCTCCTCCCGACGCTTCGGCTCGGAGTGGCGTGGCAGAAAGGATTTCAGACTTTTCTGTAGCAGAATCGCAAAGCCTCACATAGGCACCTTAGCAATTAGAATATGGTTTTGGGGTATATCATACTATAACCAACAGAAGGAAGCCCAAAATAAGCATTCAGGCCCCTATAGTACCAATAACAGAAAAACTGCCACCAATTCCAAATCCCAACCTGATGTGGCCAGGACCCTCACCCACCTCTTCCGCGTCCTGGGTGAACTTCTCCCAGGCGCTCGCAGCTGGGTTTAGGGTAGAAGGTTGGGGGTTCCTTATTATAAATTATAGTATCATGCCAAAAAACCCTATTCTCATTATGAAGGCCCCTATATTACAATAGGGTATTGAGAAGTTGAAGCCCCGCTTCGAGTCGGGCTTGACAGTCACGTGGAGACTGACCTCCTTGGCAAGTAGTAGGTTCTGTTGGCAAGGCCTTTCTGAAAGCGTTGAATCTTATTCTGGTCAGTTCGACATGGTTTTAGGTTGTCATTTCGGTTGTGCCAAGTTTGGGCTGCGCTAGGACTTTAGACGGCATACAGCCACTGAGGGGGTTATGATTCGGGTTATGACTCTTTGGGGAATGAATGGCTGCGCCGTGAGGCCACAAGAGAAGTGGCAAAAAAGGGGTGTAGGTCGAAACGGCGGTGATGTGATTTGGAAAGTGCGGAAGTCCTCAGGGCTGACTCCCACAACCCAAATGTAGTGAATGCACTTCAGTTGGGTCACGGTCAAAACCCCGTTAGTCTAGGCTGTACTTTGGAATGACCCACGGCTTCGAATGTGTATGTATGTATGTATGTATGTATGTATGTATGTATGTATGTATGTATGTATGTATGTATGTATATGTGTGTGTATGTGTGTATATGTGTGTGTGTGTGTGTGTGCAATGTAATGTAATGTAATGTAATGTAATGTAATGTAATGTAATGTAATGTAACGTAATGTAATGTAATGGAATATAATGTAAAGCGAGTATATAAGCAAGCAAGCAAGCAAGCAAGCAAGCAAGCAAGCAAGCAAGCAAGCAAGCAAGCAAGCAAGCAAGCAAGCAAGCAAGCAAGCAAGCAAGTAAGTAAGTAAGTAAGTAAGTAGGTGCATGTGTGTATGTGTGTTTGTATGTGTATGTATGTGTATGTTTATGTATGTGTACGTGTATGTATATGTATGTCTGTATGTGTGTGTATATATATATATATATTTATATTTATACATCTTAAAAAATTATGCGGCCCTCAGGTTCTATTCGGCGGCCGCAAGAGCACACATCGATTGAGTTGTAGGGTTATGCAAAACAGGGTTTTGACGACGACTCAGTTCTGGTTGGTCTGTAGGCCTTAACCTTCCCGACAGGAAGAAGCCACGGAGTTTTGGAAAGGTTCTGCTTCGGCTATGTGCCATTACGCCTAAAACCCTAAACCCTAAAGATAAGGGATGCTGATCTTGAGAGGGGCTGTTGTTGGAGCTAGGAAGGACAAGTGAGAGAACAACGCTCCAAGGCAGCACAAACCCCGATTTATGATGGTGCGTTCCAGAGCCTACGGGCCTAAACGCTAAACTGAAGACATTCAGCCCCGACTCGTTGAGTTCTCCTGCGCCAGGTGAGCTGAACTCCTTCTCTGCAGGCCATTCAGGGAGAGCTCTGCAGCCCTAAGACACCTCCGCACAGAGAATCAGCAATTTGTTTTAGACTCTTAATGCATCGTGTATGTATGATCGATTTGAACAATACGTCATGTTGTGATGGGTCATGATCGGATAATGTATGATCGCTTTATGCCGAGCCTCATGTTGTCACGGGCGCACTTTCTCCTGAAGGCCTGGAACCGAGCAGAGAGCGATGGGTCAAGCGATACTGCGGATTCCTAGTAGAGTAGACCGTGTGCCCAATCTGCGGCTCTACCAAGCATTCGGGGTTTGGGTGAGGGCTTCGGTTTTCGCCTTCCGGGCTTGGTGTTCAACGTGTTTGAGTCCATGAGCCCAAAGAGGTCGGTATCTCCACGGAGATCACATCGAGAGGCACGACGACCGTCAGTACACCGATGTGCGCCGCGAGCCTACTCTCAGACGCCCAGAGCACCACAGAATGCTTTGCCGTATCCGGGAGGGCGGAGAAGCAAGCATGACAGCTCGCCCACACTGTATCTAAACTGCAGGGTTTGCTTACGCTGCGCCAGGCCAAAGCAGGCCGTGACAATCATCCGAACGGTGGCTTTCAGGTGTTGGAAGGCTCCCAAACCCAAAGGCCATAATTATCAACAAATCAATGTTATAGTATACTATAGCGCATTATAGTATATTCTAGTATGCAAGGCATGGAGGATGGATCCACGGTGCTTTGCTCCCGGACGGCCGTGGCCCCAGCGCAAGGCGTTGCCTGGGTTTCGAGTTTCGGGTCGAGGGGGCCTTATAGTAATTAGCAATACTATTTTGGGGGTTCCTGATCATGTTTATCGTACAATGGGATAATTATAGTAGAAGGGGCCCCAAACCCTATTCTGATGATTAAGGCCCCCTATTATAGAACCCTATCATAGATCTCCCATAGAACCCTCTAAGGATCCCTTTAAAGGAACCCTATTCCACTTGTTAAGGCCCCTATATTAGAGTTTCGGGTTTGAGGTTTCCGAGGTTTCGAGCAGCTTGGACGCTGGGGTTAAGGGTTTAAAAGGTCTGTCCATCTCATACGGCTAGGCATTGATTTATATGGTTTGGGGTTAGGGTTTTGTGCTTGCCCGAGTCTTCGTTAAAAAGCAGGGTTTAGGGGCAAACAAACCCCTAAAGCTTTGGTGGATGTGAATGCTTGAATGGCTGTGCCGAAAGTGGGAGACAAAGGCCCCCAAGCAGCCAGGCCAGACAATCCTAAATCCGACAGCCACTCTGCGGTAACTTTGTGCGGTCATCGGGTCTCTTGTTTTACGGTTTGGGATTGTGCCCATGGGTTGGGGCTTCTAGTTTGGAGTTTGTTCGAAGAAGGGTTTAGGGTGTGGGTCTACCATCCTCGGTCCAGGGTTCACGGTTCATTGCTTGGTTTAGAGTATGTTTTTGTTGCTCCAGGCCCATGGTTTGTTCCGAGTTTCAGTCATGACGTCTCGTATGTTGTATATCACATGTTATCTCCAGCCCCTGGCAACAAAGCCAGGCCGGGAGCAACAAGGTAGGACGGGGCAGCTAAGGCAGGATCAGGAGACGAGGCAAAAGCACTGGACAAAGAGTACCTTGGGAGATGTGGGGTTGAACAGGTGTTTGAGCATGTGTGCATTAAACATTGGCTGCACTGCGGGCATGGACGCCATTAGGGCCTCCACCTCTACAATTCAGGCCGGCTGAAGCGGAGCAAGCCACTAGATATCGCAGCTACCATGTCATTCCTTTCGTGGGCCGAACTCTCGTAAGTTGAATGACCGTGATTGTAGGACTCAGGCTTGCGGCCTCACCGTTCATGGGCTTCGGGATGCTCTCACGACCCCAGTGCCGGGCCTTCAGCCAAGGTCGCGGTGATCTGGTACCTTACGCCCGACTGGCGCAAGGTGAGCTTGGCCGAAGTTGAGTGGAGGGGGATCATTGGACTTAGATAGCTCGCTTTTTGTTCGGAGATGGTGCATTTCACAGGTGGCGCAAGCCTTCGCGAAGTGCAGGAATGGAAAGCTCTGATCGTCACAGCAGTGTATAAGGTGTTACAGTCAGAGAAATGCCAATAGCAGCTGAGTGAGAACGAGAGTGGCGATCTCAGCACTGAATGCCGTAGTTCCAATAGCTCAAAGCTTAAACACAAATCCGTAGACCCATGCCAGAACTCTAAACCCTAAAACCTATACCCCGAACCCTAAACCCTGAAGCCTAAACCCTGAAGGCGCTTTGCTTGTCAGACCGCGCTCGCCTGGCGGTCGGTGGTTGAATCTGGTTGGAGTTTCCCACAGCTCTAAAGTCCAATGACCTAGTCAGCGAAGAGGGTGGGAAAAAACTGGCCATAACAAAAACTCGCAAACCTACATCAACAATCATCTTATTCAAGTTAAAACCCACAGCAACAGCATACTACTTCCCGAGCTTTCAAGCAGGAGTGGGGTGGGGCCTTCCACGACTTGGAGACCGGAGAAGAGGCACTTCCGATGGCATCCAGCGGTCCCTAGCACTGAACAGTGTCTTAAACAAACCTAAACCCTTCAAAACCCTTCAACAACTCGAACAAAACCCCAAGCAATTTCAATCTCAGCAACTCAAACCAGCAACTCAAACGACGTCTAAACCCCGAAAACCCCAAGGCAATTTAACCATCCAAGAACTGTGGGCTTGGGGTGGAGAGAGAGGGAGAGAGAAATTGCCACAGGTCACCCGAGCATATCGCCCAAAAGCCTCACCCGGGTTCAGCAAATTGTGAGTGGCAGCGCTCCGGTTTATCAGATGTCAGGCCCCTCAAAGAGTCGGGATGAGATTCCTGATTCCTCGGTTGAGACATCGCACAATCTCCCCAACCCTCTCGAACCCCTCTCGGCCAATGCAGAACAGGATCTTTGGATTGGAAGTTTGGGGCCGTATATAGGGCGCTACCCACGGGTTTTTTGGTGTGCTTAAAGTCCGGAGAGGGGTCAAAGCGGTCAGAGAGTCGAGGTGAAGTAAAGGGTCCGATTGCCCGGATCACTATGAATTAGTGATTGCTTGTAAGGGTTTAGGGTTTAGGGTTTAGGGTGGATGCACATACCGAGGTGAATAGCTGCATAAAGAAGAAAGGAAACCCTTCTTGAAACCAGATTCTGCCCGAATTCAACACCCTGGTGGCCTTCAACGTCCCGCGCTTCCATGCCGCTCGCCTCTTGCAATCATGCGAGGCTGCTGAATTAATATAGGGGCCTCAAATAATTACCTGTATTATTTTGGGGGTCCCTTACTATAATTATAGTATAATGGACCCGAAAACCCTATTCTATAATTGTTAAGGCAATGATATTAATTGTGGGGATTTCAGGACTCTTGGAAACAGGGTTTGGGGTTTCTTATGGCACGTCTGGCTCGACTCGAGTCTGGTGGCACAAAGGGTTCAGATACCCTGATAGAAGCTATACATCAGTTTGGGTTTAGAAACCCTAAACCCTAAACCCTAAGTGCCGAGCATTGAACGTGAGCGAATGCGGGCACATGGGGCTCAAGGCTTTTGTCTGCCTGCTCCTACGGGCTCTAATTAGCAAGTAAGTGCAGCTTGTAGTAGTCATATATTGCAGTTGTTTCCAGAGCTACACAGATCGACGACTGAAGCCAACAACGATGCCTCAACGCCTAAGAGGGCCAGAACTCGCAACTTAAAGGCCCAAGCTGCCCCCTCCCCCTACACACACCCAAGCCAACTTCCACAGCAGACCTCTGAACCTCAGCAGTCTGAACTCAGCAGTTCAGCCTCAACACCCTGCCGGACGAAGCCACGCCAAGTCGCAAGACTCAATTTCGAAATTTCCCTGCAATGGCGGCGTGCCGGTCCTATGCGGGCGAAGACGGGCGGGCACCGCTTTTTGTGTTCTACGAGACCCTGCCGAATGGCTCGCACCCAGCATTCCAAGCCGCAAGGAGCTACAGAATAAGGAGCACAAAAATGGTATTGGGAATTATTTAGGGCCCTATATTAAGATTGTAGGGTTTGCTTGCTGAGTTGAGGTTCATTCTTGGTTTCGGATGTGTCGACGAAGGTTTTTGGTGGTGCACCGCAAATTGCAAAGCCCACACCTCAAGGCCACGTGTCATCGGCCTGCTGGGTAGGGCTTTCAGCAGCTGCCGGGGCTGAGGAGTCTCGTAAGGGATGCAGACGCAAGCACCATAGGGTCGGCGCAGGCCCTCGGCACCTGACGGAACAGCTCCGCTGCCCCCAAAATGACACTTTCGTACTTAGAGGAACGGCGGCCCAAGTCGCCAAAAAAAGGAAGCCCTGAATCCTAGAGGTCCTAGAAATCCCTACGGTTCGTACGACGCGGATGCCCTGACGCCCAGGTAGCCGCCCCGTCCTTGGATCCAGCTTCGGGTCTTTGCTTCCTGGCCTGTGGAAGCTAAAGAGACGAAAAGAGGTGGGTGAAGAGAATTAAAGCATCGCTCTGTCTTTTCTTCTCCTTACTGTAAGTAGGGTCTTTTGTCCCACCATGAACCAGATGGATAGAAAAACCACCACTTTCGGTTTGAACCAGAATAAACCACGCACGACTTTCAATGGTTTAGGTTTAGATTGCTAAAAAATTGGGATTTTTTTTGGGTCCGCTTCCGCTCGTCACGCCAAAGGACACTCATTAAGCAAAGGAAATAGGGAAAGAAAAGGAACGGAAGCGCGTGCTTGTTCCTTTCCTTATGGCCTTATCATGCACAATGTGGTCTGTTATGCCAGCTCCAGATTGTGTGGAAAACGCATTGAGGGAATGAAATGAAAGGAATGTGAATGTGGGTTCCTGTCGAAAGTTCCAGACCCACATGAGCCTGTTGAGGTTTCTCCTTACATGAAGAGAAGTTGGCTGCCACGCTAATCCTAGACATTGTGAGAATACCCTGAACCCCAAACTTTCTGAGCCGTAAGATGATATAGCACTTGGCACTAGAGAGACAAAGGCCATAATAGATTGAAAAGGGAAGCAAAAAGGGGTCAGGGCATCCGTCTGGGCTTCGTCCCAGGAGCCAGCCGCTTCTGCCCAGCCCTAAACACTTGCCCCTCACTGCCACCGAGAAGCGCTCAATCTAAGCCCCAAGGCCCTAACCCTAAACCCCACACCCTCAAATCCCAACCGCAAAAAAAAGCCCTAAACCCTAAACCCTAAACCCTAAACCCTAAACCCTAAACCCTAAACCCCACACCTCAAATCCCGACCGCAAAAAACATGCCCTGAAGCTTGAAGCCTCCCAGAAGCGATGCCAGCCACTTGCCGAAGGCTTCTACCCGCAGCTGAGCTGTGCCCAGGAGTCGTGCTGCCTAGCAGACCGGTGGGCTCCTGGCCAAGCCAAAGAGGATGTTAATTAGGGTTCAGGGTTCAGGGTTTAAGGTTTTAGGGTTTGGGGTTTAGGGTTTAATAATTAGGGTTCAGGGTTTAGGGCAGGTAGATTGCCGACAGGGTGCCTATCTCTATAGCAGTTTACAAGGGACGCAGCCTGCCCCATGCCGAGTGCCCTGAGCCGGTTCATTGCAGTCCCAACTTGGAGTCCTACTGGGTGTGACCATTCGGCCAGAGACGTATCGCATCTGCGACAGCAGACCAGGTCGACAGGCACTTAAATCCCTAAACCCTAAATCCTAAATGACTCTCAGTCCGATGTGGACCCGCAGATATTTTTTCAGTGATGGTCGTCGTGGGTCTTGAACTTCGGGCAGGCCCTTTAAAGCAGAAGCCACGCAGAATCAGGTGGATGACTGCAGCCGTCCAATGACAGAGAGTATGTATGTTTCTATGTATGTAAGTATGTAAGTATGTAAGTATGTATGTATGTATGTATGTATGTATGTATGTATGTACGTATGTATCGGTCTGTCTGTCTCCGTGCCTCTCTGCCTGGCCTGGCCTGGCCTGGCCTGGCCTGGCCTGGCCTGGCCTGGCCTGGCCTGGCCTGGCCTGGCCTGTCCTGTCCTTTCCTGTCCTGCCTGTGTCTTCCTGTGTCTGTCTGTGTCTGTCTGGGTCTGTCTGTGTATCTGTCTGTGTGTCTGTCTGTGTCTCTGTCTGTCTGCTTGTCTGTATGTATACACACTACAGACACGCACGTGACATACATGTTCGATGAACGGGTGTATGCTCGTCGTTCTTGGCATGTGTATCCCAAAAGTCCTCGTGTGAAGAAAGACACCTTTTAAGGTATGAGCCATTGAAAGAAGAAGCCGAAAGTTGAATACAGCGTTCTGAGCCTAAGTTTCGCGATCATATGCGCGTATCGCCCATATACAAGTTTGCTACCAACACATGCATGCTACCAGATTACAAAGGTCCCTAGAGTAGCAGCCGCTGAGGTGCATGACACCGAGTTTGCCTCCACCAGCTATGTGAACTACAGCTCCATGGCGGTGTACATCCTCTTCACGGCTTCCCGGCTGCGCATCGGCGTCGCAGGTCTAGGGTCCAGGGAATTTCAGAGTTTTTGGGGGAGATTTGTTTTAATCGCTCTAGGGTTCAATCTACAGAGGGGCCATTATGGTTGTGAGCAACTACTACTTATTCAGACCTCTTTCATTGGGTTTCGAGGGTCCAGGAGAGGCAGTCTCCAGCCGTTGGCCTTCTAGGCGCATTTAGGACGTGCCATTGGATTGGGACAGTTTGCAGATGCAACGACTTGCAGCAGTGATACTGAGAGGCATGCAGAACAGCAGCAGTAGCGGCAAATATTGAGTCAGGGCAGCATTGTAACAGTCAGGGGAACCCCAAAGGGAAAAAAGCCCTAAACCCCAAAACCCAAAAACCTTAAACCCCAAACCCTCAAAGCCCAAAAGCACCAACACCAAACAGATCTGGCTCCAACGCTGGGTGCGCACCGTGCGCCCTGGGGGAGAGTCCCAGACCACAGTGCCGGTGTCCCGGCCTCCGCGACCCGGCACAAGGTGGAACACATGGGTAGTTTTCTAAATTAGGGTCCCTTTTAGGGTCCTTTTTATATCGGTGCCGCACTATATTGGGGACCCAAAAAGGGACCCTAATTTTGAGAACTACCCACATGGTTTCTTACAGGATTCTGGTGGGTTTTGGGTGGGGTTCTTATAGGGTTCTTATAAGGTTCGATGGTACCCTAAAGCATACACCCTAGACCCTGGTACAGGGTTAGAGACATTAGGGCCTTTGCAGGGTAGAGGGTTCAGCACTTAGGGCAGCAGTCCCTGGCCGATGCAATAAAAAGGGCAGCAGTCATGTTCTGCGGCTCCTGGCAGTGGACGGAGGCACTAAATCATGACGATGCCGTTCATGTGGCCCAGTGGCAAGGCTGTGCTGCTTGCAGGTGGAGGACAACCCTAAACCCTAAACCCTAAACCGTGCTCATGTCGTCCCGCCCGGATTCCTGTACCCTGAACCCTAGGCTTCAACCCCATGCCCAAGAACCTTAGGAATCATGAGACTGCCCAGGAGTGGTGTCCCAGAGCATCTGAACCTGCTGGGCGTCTACTTGGGTGTGCGACTTGGTGGCCAGAAACCCTAAGAGCAGCCCCCATGTCGAGCGTCGATAGCGCCGTAGGTTTATTGAATCATGAATTTATAGCACGACGGTGCCACAACATCTTGTGCCGATCTTCCGTCCACCTCTTCAACCCCCAAGATGTAGAGTTCTATGCGCAGATTTTGGCTTTAGGGCTTCAGTTCGGAGTTTGTTGGGTTACGTACCTGGGATTCTAAAGGGTAGAGGGTTTAGCTTGCGCTCGGTGCCGCCGATCCTGAGCATGCTGTTAGTCATGATGATTGGTACTAGTGAGTTACTGTGGGTTCGGGTTCTAGGTATCATGAGGATGGTCGTTATCGTTTTTGCCAGTGGCTTTATTGTCATGAGTAGTATTATTGTTATGACCAGTACTATCATTACTAGTGTAACTTTTTCAACTAATTTTCCTTCTATCATCAGCCAGCAGGATTATTGTCATTTGTCAATTTTTTTCTCATAGCTACTCTTGATTTCTATTTTCATTCCTATGTGCGATCACTGCTTCGAGTCGATGGTTCGACCCACTCGCTTGCGCTATGTGCTTTGCCCGTGCCCCATTTCCCTGCAGACTCCTGGCACAAGGTTTAGGGCCTCGGGTTTACATAGTGTTTAGGCTTAGGGTGGGGTGTAGGGCTCAGGACTTAGAGCTTAGGCTCAGGGTTTAGCAAGGCCTCCTCCGGACCGGAATTTCTAGGCATCGAGGTACTGCGCTACTCCGCAAGAGTCTGTAACATCTGGCAGGCTAGGAAACAGGGCCTGCAGCTCGACTTTTTCGGGCCGGGGATGTATTTACTGTCACTGTCGTTAAATGGGTAGTTTTCTAAATTAGGGTCCCTTTTGGGGTCCTTTTTTTAACAATAATATGGGTGCCGTACTACATTGGGGCCCTACAAAGAGACCCTACTTTAGAGAACTACCCACATTGCTACTTAAACCCTAAACCTTAAATTAAACCATGCTACCTAGGGGCTCCCCTGCAGACACGGTACTGTGCGATAAAGCAAAAAAAACCTGCTACTTACTGGTCTCCAGCCTTCCTCGCCTGAGCCAGGATTGCCTCGACTGTGGTTGGCATCGCCATGGCCCAGAGCACTCAGCTGGCCCTACCCGTGCCGGAAAGGAGCTTCCTAAAGGGATGCCCTAAAGGGGCAAACAAAACCCTAAACCCTAAACCCTAAACCCTAAACCCTAAAACCTAAACCATCAAAATGGCTACAGCCTGAGCCTTAGTTCAAGGAGCTTGTCTAGCAGAAAGAGAATGAAACGCACACGCAGCCCTTCAGCTACTGCGACACCGCAACCCCACGGTGCAACAGTCACTGAGACCTGCTGTGTCTCACGCAGACTTAGGAGCTCCAGTACATGGGGGTTTCCGAAAATAGGGGTTTAGGGGTTTAGGGTTTAGGGTTTAGGGTTTAGGGTTTAGGGTTTCCGAAAATAGGGGACCCTAATATAGTACCCTAAGTAGTAGGATCCTTATAAGGACCCCAAATAAGGTACCCCGAATTTTCGGAAACTCCTACATAGCGCGTTCGATGACAGTGATGATGATTCTGCTGCCGTCGTGACTGCCCAACCCGAACCCCCTGTCCTAGTGGACTCCTCGTCGGATGATGACATGACCATGGGGATTGACGCCGTTTCTAGATCGACCTTAGCCAAGCTGGCAACTCACGGGGAGGATGATGTGGGTCGTCTCTTTCTATCTGTTGGAAATGCATCAGTCAAGCTTGCGCTTGTGCAATCAATTGACGATGAAATCTCGTTACTGAGCCATCTGAGCTGTGCCTTGATACTGTAATTAGGTGCGTTCAAGCTTTCCTTTTACAACCTCGCCTGTGAGCATAGTTCTCTGCCATGCGAGAGGGAACAAAACCCTAAACCATGAGCCCCTAACTGTCGGTTTCGGGGTGGAGGAACTCCATGCTGGCAGCAACCGCTTTTCTGACTCCGATGAAGGACATCTTCCAGCCGCCTGTCTTTGGGCCTTTTAGGGTTTAGGGTTTAGGGACATCTTCCAGCCGCCTGTCTGTGGGCCTTCGGCGTGCTCTTGCTTCTTTGCCGGCTAATTAGCGCACTGTAATATTAGGCTTGCATGTGACTCGCGATTACAAGACGTTGCAGTTCGTTATGGTGTAATGAAGCACGCATCACTGTATACGTAACTGCTACTCGGCCATCCCTTTAGGCTGTAGCTGTAGCTGTATCTTGTAGTCTGTGCAGGCGACCGCGCGGCTGACAGACTCCGAGTCCGTGAGAGAGAGAGAGAGAGAGAGAGAGCGCTAGAGAGAGAGAGAGAGAGAGAGAGAGAGGGAGACAGAGACAGAGACAGAGAGAGAGAGAGAGAGAGAGAGACAGATGCCGACCATGATGATGCTAGTGACTGCAAGTGGTGGTACGGCTGATGCCAGCAAGGATATGGCAACAGTGAGGGTGGCGGCGGTGATTATGATGGTAATTAGCGCCGATGCCTATGCCGAACAGAACATGATCGACATCGAGATCACGAAATAGAGCAGCAGCAAGATCAGAACCCAAGGAAGCAAGGTAGCTTTGAAAAACCCAGTGATGGGAACCTTATCAAGCCTTGTTGTCTTACAGTTGTGGCTCCTGGCATCTGCATTGGACATTCGTCCACGTGGGTACTGGAGCTGCTGGTGCTGGTCTTTCGTTGTTGAGCAGTTGTCGTTTTGTTGCATGCCTTTGAGCCACGGCGACCTTCCAAAGCATCTGTGTCAAGCCAAAGTGCCGAGGTTTCTTGAGGACACCACCATGGTGAAGATAACCCACGCCATGGGTGTCGGTGACTTCTCCGCTGTGAGGTCTATATTCCTGCTTGGTGTGCGGCCATGGTGTACATCAGCACAGTTTTTGTTTTGGTCTTTGGGTGGCTTCGTCGCTGCCGTTCTGGACAGTGGGGTTTGCGCGATCGCTAGTGTTCGGGGAATCTTTGGGGCTCGTCTGCCAGGAATCGCCAACCTGCAACTGTCCCGCCAAATTCCTGAATGTAGGTTTGGTGGGCTCGCCTGCGGTGTCGTGGGCGCAAGTTTGCCTCCCAGCTGCACTTGGCCGATGACCCCAGCAAAAGTAAAACTACCCACGTGGTAATTCATTCTGCCTCGCTGGCTGTAGCACTTGTTTGGAAACGGCTTTTGTTGGGTCTTACATGGCCGGAGCTGTCAAAAACTGTACATTCCGCAATCAAAAAATTCGGCAATATAGAAGCCTGAGTAAATGACTTCTACCATGTCTTCCGGTTCTATGTCCGAGCCACTAAGTAGTTTAATTGTACCATACCGCACCCCGAACCCTGTTCTAACTACTAACCCAGAGACTCCAATACCCCTTAATTAAGGAATATACCTTAAACTATAGTAGGATCCCTAATATGATTTAAGGTATATTCCTTAATTAAGGGGTTTTGGAGTCCCTGGGAATGCCCCTACAGCAGGTCCTGCCACGCACAGCGACCCTCGAGCCATGCGTTTGTGTCACCTGCATATTTGGAACACAAACCCACCACGGTTTAGGGTTTAGGGTTTAAGGTCTAGGGTTTAGGGTTTAGGGACCAACACCTGACCTTTCTGTTATTTAGGCCCGAGCCCTCTGGTTTTGAATTGGAGTTGCTTTTTGGGAACACGAAAACAGCAAGCCGGCACGGAGCCGAGAATGACACTGCTGGCGTATTGGCCCGCGGCCATCGAAGTGCTTCTTGCCCCAGGTTCAGCGCAGGCGGAACTGTAGCGGTCGTGAGTTTAAGACCCAGGCTGCAGGGTTTGGGGCGCAGTTTGACGCTGATTGGATGTGGTGGGGATGTGGTCAATTAGGGCTTTGGGTAATCTTGCTTGTCGAGTTTTTGAATGACATTCTGGAACGACGTGGCAGGATAGCAGGGCCCGGCGGAGCGTTGAAAGCAGTCATTGAATCAGGAGTGCGGACGAAACTTGAGAAGACCATGAAGCTCCTGGTGGTTGAGATGCTACGACACAGAGAATGCTATGTTCAGTTTGAAAGCTGCCTAACTCGTGGCCCAAGGCTCATGGCAGCGGTCTGTCCTTTCTGGCAGCACGTAAAAATAAGAATCTCGGGATCTCGTGTTTAGGGTCTAGAATAACCCGTGAAGATGCTGAGACCTCGAGCGGACGGAAGCAACCTTATAAACCTTCTCGAAGTAGTCATATGGAAGTTTCCGAAAATAGGGGACTCTAATATAGTACCCTAAATAGTAGGACCCTTATTATAAGGACCCCAAAATAAGGTACCCTAATTTTTGAGAAAGTCCCATATCCCTACGAAAGCCCGCCAAAACGAGACAGTGCTCCGAGAAGGCACAGCTGGAGAATCCGGGCTGCGACCTCCTCCCTTCTGCGACCGAGGTGAGGAGTCTCAAGAAGGGTTTAGTGTTTGGGGTTTAGGGTTTAGGGTTTAGGGTTTAGGATTTAGGGTTTAGGGTTTAGGATTTAGGGTTTAGGGTTTAGGGGTATGAGGGTTTTTGATCTGATGATAGTTTAGCATTTCATGAGGCTCTACGTAAGAAGGAAGATGATTGGGTTTTTGGTGAAATTCCTTGCGCTTTTATATGGCTGGTTTGTGTTTGACGGTTGGACACCTTGCAGAAACTTCTGACAATCTAGAGTCTAGAGAGAATCGGCAGTGCTAAACCGTGTGACAACATAGATAGGCATCTCAGAGGTTACAAGTGCGTGGGGCGTAAAGATTGGCGTGGCTAGCGGCGGCTAGCGATACTATTAAGACTCGGGGCCCGTGTGAAGTGGCAGTGAGCTTGTAGATTCTCCGGGCTGCTTCGGATTGACGAAACCTTAAACATCAAAGCCTTAAGCCGGAAACCTGCAGGTTGTTCGGCTTTAGCCCTCCATGGCTCAAACTTCCCCCGAATCTTTCATGAGACCGCGAGCTATGCCGTTAACGGCACAGCTTCTTATCTTCCATGTGCACCTCCTGGTCGCGAATGTGATCGGGCAAAATTGTCATTACCAGGTCGGGAATGTGAATGCTGATGCGGCGGCCAGTGCCGGGCAGACCTCATGCCTCATACAGCAGCGTGCAGATACCGGCAAAGCCGTGATTGAGCCGAAGGAGTCGCCTTTCTCTCCTGCACAGTGGCAATGCATTTCGCAATACGGTGCAAGCGTGGATGCCGATCTTCCTGGTTTCGCCCGGCGTCTCGAGCAAAGACGCTTTGGAGGCACCGGCAAGGCCAGCACGGATGGCTCGGTCATCTTGGGCGCTGGCTTTGGCACCACAGCGACGCGATCTCTGGCAGCTTTTGCTCGCCAGCTGGGACTCGCTGTGCACCACTGCAAGCAGGGGAAAAGAGAAGACATACCGGAGTTCTGGATGCGGCTGATGAACATCACGAGCATGCAGCACCCGAACGGCCTGGATGGCTGCCTTTCCGCCGTAGATGCCATGAACTTTTCCGAGGCCTTTGACCAGGGCGACGACCTGCTTTTGGACACCCCGATGGCGGAGCATTTCCTTGACTTCTACGCCGTGTCACCACAGTCTAAGGTCATCCTTACCAACCGCAATGCGGTGGATTGGGTGAAAGCCCGGCTTTTGTGGGATGAGACCATGGCCGCCCCACTCCACAGCCCCTGTGGCATGAAGCTCCAACCCATGAGTCCGGAGACGGCGGTCCGCCTCTACGAGGCACACAATCGACTCGTCCGCTGCATCGTCCCAGCAGAGAAGCTCACGGAGATCAACGTTTTCGATGGTTCCTCTGTTCAGATTTGTTATAGGTCCTTATAGGTACCTAAACCAAGTAAGGAATAGAACTTTCGATTTTTGATGCTACTCCAACCATGAGCTAGGTTCAACGCTTGATGTTCCGGCATTGTCAGATTTCCTCGGCAAGGGGCGACCAGAGTTTCCGCCGCTCTTCCCGCGAGTGAGCGATCAGCGCTGGGGTGACGAGGCCAAGAAGGACTTCGCCATTTGTGTCTAGGCCTTTGGGATCTTTTATGTTTTCCCTGAGGGGCCTTAGAGGGATCTTGTGTAGGAGCATTTTTGTCAGAGGTTTTGACGGGCCACATAAAGGACGCTGATCTGGATCCTACCCTGACCGGCCCTAGCCTAAGCTCGCAACCGCTCAAATCCTAAACCCGAAACACAAGAGCCCTAAATCCTAAACCTTAGACCCTAAACCTGACCAAGCCAACAAAGCCCTAAAACAAGGTATCACAGGGCAAATACGCCGGCTGGAGCTCAAGACGAAGGTGGAACGTCTCATTCGGCCTCTCATGGAAACTGGGTTCTGGACTACCATACTGTAGGGGTTTAGGGTTCTGTTGGATCTGTTCCTTAAAGGATGCATTATACCCCAGACCCTAAACTCTGCACCCTAAACTTCTTTCTCCTTGGTTACTTCAAAGCCCAGGAAAGCAACTTCCGGGTCGTTGTAGCTCTCGTCTTGGACCCACGTGCCACAGCTTCCTACATCCATCGTGGTTCAGGAGGGGCTGAGGGTGCTTTTTGTACGTGGTTTGTTTGTTTGTTGGTGTGTTTGGTTTAGTTTGTTGCTGGGCCTCTGAGTGCGAATTCTCAGACCATGTGTGAGTCGGCAGCTCACGCTCCCCCCGCTCAGTCAGTCGCTTCGTTGGTTGGCCTGTCGACTCACGCTCCCAGTCAGTCAATCAGTCGGTCAGTCGACAGTCTGCTCTTTTGCTCTGGGCCCCTTACCTCCGCATGAGCCTGGGTAGAAGTGCATTGTGTGTATATATATAGAGCACCCACAAGTATACATATATATATATATATACGTGTGTGTGTGAATATGTATATAAAAATATATATATATATATGTGTGTGTGTGTGTGTATGTATGTATGTATGTATGTATGTATGTATGTATGTATGTATGTATGTATGTATATATACACATTGTCCATATTATGTATTTGTATATATATATATGTATATACATACATACATACATACATACATACATACATACACACATACATACACACATACATGCATGCATGCATGCATACATACGTACGGAGAAAGGGGCTCGTGCATATATAATATGAATATACATACATACACAGATATTTGTACTTGCAGCTATACTTGTCTAAATACTTATACATGTAATTTACGTACATGCATATGTATATGTACATGTATGGGTACAATATCTTGAGTTTTCTGCCGATCTGTCCTATTTCGAAACGGCTTCTGATTAGATACGACTTTCCTATCGGACAATGGTTTCCCATTGGATAGGGTTTACCTATTTGGGTTGTTTTTCGTATTGCACAATGAATTAGGCAATTCTCACTCAGAATTTATTGGTTAGCTTCGACTTCATGTTCCCAGCTCCAAAAGAAAACTTTAAATTAATACTGTAGTGTACGTGTACTTATCTAACAGGCACATATGCCCATGTTTGGGTTTTAAAACTGCATTTATACGCATGCATGTATATACTTATTCTCAGGTAGGTATGTATGTATTCATGTCTGTCTTTGTTTAGGTGTGCAATTATGTTTGTTTGTGGTCATAATTGTAATTCTGTTGGTGGTTATGTCTACACTTATGTTCATATCTACATATGTACCTGTATGTGCACATGGCATCTTGTGACCTGGCGAGGCATGATATGGCATGACATGATGTGATCCGATTTTGAATTGGGCTTGCTATGTTACGTTTCCGCCGAGTAAGCATGACCATGCAAATGAGGGAGCGTAAGATTTCATAGTTACAAGCTTATGCACCCTATCTACAGACTGCTTTTTTTGCACAAAGAAATGTGCGACACAACGTCCATATGGCATATACAGTATGTACGACATCTGTATACCTATCATTTTGCATTGTGTGCTGTGCTCTTTCTTTCTTCCCCTTTGTATGCGCCGTTGTTTCGTCGAGCAAATATTGATTCATAGAGTTCTTAGTAGTAGAAGTTGTATTAGAAGTAGTAGAAGTAGTAGTAGTAGTAGTAGTAGTAGTAGGAGTAGTAGTAGTAGTAGTAGTAGTAGTAGTAGTAATAGTAGTAGTAGTAGTAGTAGTAGTAGTAGTGGTAGTAGAGCAGTAGAAGAAGTAGTAGTAGTAGTAGTAGTAGTAGTCGTAGTAGTAGTCGTCGTCGTCGTCGTAGTAGAAGTAGCGGGAGTAGTAGTAGTAGCAGTAGTAGTAGTAGTAGTAGTAGTAGTGGTAGTAGTGGTAGTGGTAGTGGTGGTAGTAGTAGTAGTAGTAGTAGTAGTCGTGGTGCTGGTGATGGTGGTAGTAGTAGTGTAGTAGCAGCCGCAGCAGCAGCAGCAGCAGTAGCAGTAGTAGTAGTAGTAGCAGCAGCAGCAGCAAGAGTAGGTTTAGCAGCAGAAGCAGCAGCAGCAGTAGCAGTAGCAGGAGGAGTAGTAGTAGTAGTAGTAGCAGCAGCAGCAGCAGCAGCAGCAGAAAGAGTAGGTTCAGCAGCAGCAGCAGCAGCAGCAGCAGTAGTAGTAATTGTCGTCGTCGTCGGCGTCGCAGCAGAAGTGGCAGTAGTAGCAGTAGCAGTAGCAGTAGATTAACAGTAGTAGTGGTAGCAGTAGTAGTAGTAGTAGTAGTAGCAGCAGTAGTAGCAGTAGTCGTCGTAGTAGTAGCAGCATTCGTAGTGGCAGCAGCAGTAGCCGGAGGAGGAGCAGCAGTAGTCGTCGTCGTGGTGGTGGTAGTCGTCGTCGTCGTAG